TCACGTTTTCTGATGGGTGAGGTTAGGTTGTTATGTCCATGCACTTTAACCTGTATGTTAAATCAGATGTGAGATATTAGATGTTTATATCAGATATTTTATGAATTCAAAACGAAATATTTGTATTCTGTTATAAAACATCTACATATTTAAAATCAATTGTTATATATAATTTACATTAAAATAGTTACAAAAAAATAATGCAGACCGTCATATAAATATTTTTATCTTTATTTGTATATTTTAGGTGTTTTATAATGAGTTTTCTTTTATCTCTGTATTACTTTTTGATAGAAGAATTTTTTATTATTTTTATACCGATTTTTTTCTGCATTTTTGTAAATTTAAATTTAACACTGAAAAATTTATCTGAAATTGACTGAGAAATATGATTTTTTTATTTATAATTTTTAAAGATTATTAAGAGAAACATCTTGTTTTCAGTTTGTTATTTGAAGTACTTAAAAATTATGAGGAAGAATAAACTATTTGATTAATTTATGTATATTGCCGATTGATTTATATATTTTTATATATCTAGCAAGCAACTCCAGTTTTCTACGGGCAAATATGCACGTTTCGCTGATGGTTGTGCGGTTGCAACTCTGGGAGACACTTCTGTCATGGTTACGACAGTTTGTCAGCATCAATCAACTACCTCTTCGTTCCTTCCACTCGTCGTGGACTACAGACAGAAGGCAGCAGCAGCTGGTCGCATACCAACCAACTTCCTACGAAGAGAACTTGGACCAAGTGAGCATGAAATTCTTACGAGCAGAGTCATTGATCGATCCATAAGGCCATTGTTTCCAGAAGGATTCTACTTTAATACCCAGATAATTTGCAACATGTTAGCTGTTGATGGCATGAATGATCCTGATGTTATCGCCATTAATGGTGCTTCCGCAGCTCTTAGCGTTTCTGATATTCCTTGGAATGGTCCTGTGGGTGCCGTTAGACTCGGAATGATTGATAATGAAGTAATAGTCAATCCTACCAGACGTCAAATTCAAGACAGTACGTTAAACCTTATTGTTACTGCGGCCAAACAAAATTTAATAATCATGTTAGAAGGTTCGGCCAATGAGATATTGGAGCCATATTTAAGGAAGGCAATAAAACAGGGGGTCAAAGAATGTCAGAATATTGTAGCAGCGATAACAAAATTGCAAAAGACGTGTGGTAAATTAAAAAGGGAAATTGAAACTATTGAACAGAAAGACGATAATTTGAAGAGTTCTGTGAAAGAACTCTCGGAGGGAAAATTACAAGACATATTTTCAAATCATACTCACGATAAGATATCAAGAGATATCGCAGTAAACGATCTTAAAAATAGTGTTATTGAAACATTGCGAAATGATAATACGGATTTGGATGTTAAATTAGCAGAAAAAATCTTTGGAAAAATTCTTAAAGGTGTATTCAGGACCTTAATTTTAGAGAAGGATGTCAGGTAGTTTTTCTTGTACTCCTAAATATAAGATATTTATTGTTGATCTACAAATGATTGAATTAAGATTTTGACGATTTGCAGGTGTGATGGACGTTCACCAAGTGGTCTACGCGATATATCGTGTCAAGTAGATCTCTTTAATCCTCTTCATGGTTCGGCTGTATTTCAAAGGGGTCAAACTCAAGTCATGTGCACTGTGACTTTAGATTCTCTAGAAAGTGCACTTAAAATGGACGCTGCTTCAATGTTAATTAGGTACATTAATAAAAAAAAATTAAATTTCAATATAATTTTTCCTTTTATGGTTTATTTCGTTTTATGGCATTGCAATTATATCACGATAAGTCCAAGTTCTGAATGTTGTTATTCTAGGAAGATTAAAAAATATAACATAAAAACAATATTACAAAGAGCATACACCACTACGCAAGGTCTTATGAGCGAAACAATATATATAGATTTATTAAAGAACAATAATATATAATATATAAAGAATAATATATAAAGAACAATTTCAAAATATATATTATAAACGCTTCGATCTTAATTAGACCATCTTCACATATAATACACATATAATAAATAAATATGATTCAAGCAAAGATATAGACAGTCTGCAGATCTGCAGTAAAATATTCGCTATATGCAGTTGTGTTTATAGATATACACAATCTACTATTTTGTACCTATTTGGATTTCTTTCTGCTAAATGTTGATTATCCATTGAACTTGTCTTATTTAATCTTATTGGCATTTAATAAATATTTGCAATTTAATATTTTGTAGCAGTGGCGTTAAGGAAAAGAACTTCTTTCTTCATTACGAATTTCCACCTTACGCGACTAATGAAACGGGACATTCGACTCGAGTTGGTCGCCGAGAACTGGGACATGGCGCTTTGGCAGAGAAAGCCTTGCGACCGGTTCTTCCAAAGGATTATCCCTTCACTATAAGACTGACTAGTGAAGTCCTAGAATCTAATGGTGAGACGATTGTACAGTGCCCCTGGCAATAAACCTGGTTTAATAAATGGTCTTGTAAAGCTACGATAATGTACCAAAAACTTTATACTAAAAAGTTAAAGTTATGTCTTGCTCTACAAAAAGGTTCCTCTTCAATGGCTACCGTTTGCGGCGGAAGTTTGGCACTGCTCGATGCAGGTATACCAATATCTTCGGCAGCAGCTGGCGTGGCTTTTGGTCTTGTGACTAAATATAATGAAACCAATACACATATTGAGGACTACAAAATATTGACTGATATATTGGTACATATTTACACAGCTATTACACAGTTTAACTAATTAAATTATTTTGGTTACAGAATACTTGTTGTAGCAAATATTCTGTAACAACGTTTAAAAATTGTCATTTTGAAATTTATTATAAAAAAAAAACAGAAACAGAAGAAAAGAAGCAAGATTATTACATATTTTAAAAGAACATACTTTTATTCCTACAATCAGTTATTACACCAAAATTGCAATTTAAAATTAATACTGTAGAATTTTAATGATTCAAAATATTCAAACTCATTTTCTGAAAAATGTTTTTTTGGAGTAGCAAATGAGTGATGTATACATGGCATCATCAAGATCGTATAAAAATTACTTTAATTTTTCAAATTAGAATCTATTTTTCGTTGCATATTTGGATAGTTGAGATCAAGAAACGTTTAGAACGTAAATTGTTGATTCCTTCAAATTTATCCCAAGTTATATCTGGATTAGTATTTAAATCAACAATTTTTATGATTAACAAAAACGTTTGACTGCAGGGAATCGAGGATTACCTTGGAGATATGGATTTCAAAATAGCAGGCACCAAGGGAGGATTTACTGCATTCCAAGCTGATATAAAGATACCAGGAGTTCCATTGAAAATCATAATGGAGTGTATAGATAAAACAACGAATGCTAAATCGGAAATAATTAAAATCATGAATAAAGTAATACGAGCACCGCGACAAACTAAGAAGGACAAGATGCCAGTGGTCGATAATTTAGAAGTTCCTGTTCATCAAAGAGGAAAGTTCCTTGGAGTCGGCGGGATGAACCTTAAGAAAATATTCTTGGAAACCGGAGTACATGTAAGATTTTTATGATCTAAAAAGTTTTCGTACGGCAATGGCCTAAATATTATTAAATTCATAATAAAGTTATTCACTATAATTTTATTATAATTTGAGATTTATCTTAAGTTCCTTATTTTAATTTCGTTCAGATATATCCATATGACGAAAACACCTACTCAATATTTGCGCCGAACGAAGATGCTATGACAGAGGCAAAGGAAATGATAGAAGGCATTTTACAAAAAGATCGTGAGCCGATTTTGGAGTTTGGCGCTATTTATACTGCAAGAATAGTAGAAATCCGGGAAGCTGGGGTCATGGTGACGTTATACTCCAATATGATACCGGCATTATTACCTAACTCCCAGTTAGACCAACGTAAGATTCATCATCCTAGTGCTCTAGGACTTGAAGTTGGTCAAGAGATACAAGTTAAATATTTCGGACGAGATCCAGTATCTGGACAGATAAGGATATCGCGGAAAATACTGCAAGCACCAACTTCAGTTACGAAAACTTTACATCATGATGATGCGGAAAAAACATGAACTCTATGGTATATATTGTAGAATTAAAATCAATGTATTTGCAATACATACATTAGCTATACATGTGTAAAAAAAAACACGCTCTGTATATTTTCCATTATCCTGTCAAAAAGTGATCATTTTTATATACAGTAAGTTCTTCCTTGTATCTATTTATCTTGTATTTTTGTACGGTACCGTTATTAAGAATAGAAATATAAAAAGATTGCAGTTAAAACATATTCAACAATGTGTTCTATCTATCCTGCTTTCATATATGTATATTGTCGTCGATATGAATTACTCAAAGATTTAATGGAGTTTACAAATGTAGTAGAATACCTAATACGATTCTTAAATTTCTTCGTCAACAGTTCATAGAAAGTATAATTGACGAAGGACAAAAATACATGGTTGATTTCTTATTTTTCATAGATAATTTTCTCTAAAATCTTAAATGGAAAAGATTCTATTCTACATTACTTAATATTATCTTTTCATTTACAATCATAATTGTTTAATATTATGGGTAAAAACATATTAAGTATAAAAATCGTGCAATAAGTTAAAAATAAACAGATTCTTCCTTTGCTTGCATTATCTTTTCCTAGAAATAAAGGAAATAGATAAACTGAAATAACAGGATGTTAGGATAAGTTAAATTTTCACGTACAGTCAGTAACATAATTCGTTTCTTATAATTTCTTTAATTCTAAATCATATTTTTTGTAAAAACAGAACGCATTTAACAATTTTACATTAAATACTTACATTATTTTTACATTAAATGTTGAACAATAAAGTCAATAATTAATAACATAACAAGAGAGTTCACTTTTTAAAAGATACTTTTTTTTCTATTTATTTAATACTAATCAAAAATATTATGATTTTGCCCAATTACGTGAATATGTTTCTTTTTTGTAAACGTAATAAAGGAATAATTTGACAATCTATATTTAAATCTACATTGTACTTCACGTAATATCTCTCATTCATGTAACATTTTTACAATTTCTGATCATGTTGAACACGATTGCACGTTTTTTTTATCACTACGTATTTAAGCGGAGTTCTACGTTCACGCTTGGTGCCGTGATTAGCGCGATGTACTTTGAGAGAGCATATGATGACGCTTGCGAGTACATATTTGAAACTGTGAATAAAGGGGTATTTCATTATAACAGTATATATTCATATACTGTTTATATAATATTTATATAATGTTTATCTGAAATACTAAAGATATAAATAAATACTATTCCATGACTTTTTGAGTTATACATATATGTGACGATTTTTGTCATGAAATGATCAAAATCATCAAAATTAATGAAATTGATTTACTTAATGTTTATTACAGAGGCTTTGGAAAGATATAAAACATCGATATGAAAAGTAAATTATGGAAACTCGGTATGCATACAACGATCAATCCAAGCCTTTCATCGATAATAAAGAAACTCATTATGGATTAATGTGTACGCAGGTATAATTTAATATATTTTATATTATTAAATTTTAAAATTTGTCAAATATTGCTTATTAATATTACTATTAATTGTACACTGTATTTTATAACAGAACCAGATAATTTTAATAACAATAATTACGAAAACTGAAATGGTATACAAATGATGCATATTAAACTAGAGACAAAGGCATTAAACTATTGTAATATTTTTCTTTTAATTTTAACAAATGCATATCCTTAATCGCACACGCATGATTTTATTTTACAAATAATGATGTAATTAACTACGGAAAAAATCAAATAAAAGTTAATTAAAAGTATCTTAAAGTAAGGAATTTTTCAATTAAATACGTATTAATAACACTGCCCGACGTTTTAAGACTTTTTCTGCTGTTTGAATAAAAGATACCATTTCGGATGTATTTTCGCGCGCTGAACACGAATCCGGCAATGAAATTGCTCTATCGCGTCACGTTTTTGAGAAAAGTGAAGTTAAAAGTGTCAAAATTGACGTTTTTTGACATATTTCTGATTTTTTTCCTAGCGAAGTAAATTTTTTTTTCTACTTTCGTTTACGGGATCTTAAAGAGGCAACTTTTGTCTTTAAAATATATTTTTTTAACGCCGTACGTTTTTTTTTTTCACCGAGATAATCTCTGCGTAGTCACAAAGAAAAACGTTCTGTGCCAAAAATGTTTTTGAAGAAAAAGAAGTTAAATAAATATTTGTTTACTTAATTTAAATTTGAAATTCTTTTACAAATGTTTAAAATTCCAAAATTAATATTATAAACAATATTTTTTAAATTAAATTAAAGCGCAAATTTTAGTGATAAACATTTTTTTGCGATGACAAATTTTTCCATGTTGGATCCTCCATTTTGAATTTCGAAAATTTGATTTCAGATTCGGATTTAGTTGACCTTAAAAACTTTGCTACTAAAATCATCACACAGTTCTTAAAACTTTTTCTTCAAAAACATTTTTGGCACAGAACGTTTTTCTTTGCGTGACTATATGTAGAAATTATCTCGGTGAAAAAAAACGTACGGTGTTAAAAAAAATATATTTTAAAGATAAAAGTTGGCACTTTAAGATGGCGTAAATGAAAGTAGAAAAAAAAATTTACTTCGCTAGCAAAAAATCACGAATATGTCAAAAAACGTTAATTTTGACACCTTTAACTTCACTTTTCCCACAAACCTGACGTGATAGAGCAATTTCATTACCGGATTCGTGTTCAGCGTGCGAAAATGGTATCTTTTATTCAAACAGCAAAAATTACGTCGAGCAGTGTAATTATAAATTGTTCAATTATTTTAACATGTATTAAAATATAATGCAATTAAATATAGTATTGTAATAATTATGTTTAATTATAACAATTATAATAATAAATCATTAATAAAAAGTACAATTTGTCTTGTTTATTTTATGGTCGAATAGGCATTTTCTATATTTCCCCTTATTTTTAACTTTTATTTTAAAGACACGCATGGAAGAAAAATGTATTACCTATATGATTTCAGTCTTTCTTTCACTCTCTCATCTTATATGCGTTCATGTGATATGATAACGGGAGAATGGCATAAGAAGAGATCTTTGTTTGCAGAAAAATAAATATAGGGTAGAAGAAAATGTATAATAGAGAATATTTTAATTTTAAAAGAAATACTGATTATATTCACAACTTCATTTGAGAAACTAATTAATTTTGTAGATTTTGAAGATCATAAAATATTTAAACCATATTTGTTGCACTATAGTTGCAATATTTTTGTGAACATTTGTAACATGTAATTTTTCCAATTTTATTAAATAGAAATTTTTTACAGTTTTTGTATATTATAAATATTACATGCTTATTCACACATACAGAAAAAAGATTTCTACTTATTTGATAAATCAAATGCGTTTGTTAGATATCTAAATATATATTGATTTTGATAAACTTTATGTTGTTCGGAACTTCCGATGATAAAACATGAGTAAATGCTGGTTTTTAAGAATGACGTAATGATATAAATACGAGCTACAGATTTGAAAGCGCAATATTTGCAAAGAACGTTCAGTGAGAAGCTAATAGCCAAAATAATTAGACAAGTATTTAGAGTTATTCTTGGTCAGAATCAACATTGAAGGTATGCTACATTTCTACTATTAATTTTTAAAAGTTTATGCGCAAATTTTGTTTATTTGTGGAGAAATTATTAAAAAATATAATATTCTTTCATACATTTTATATATATATATACTATTATATTATTTATAATATATTAAAGGTATAATTTTTATTATATTTAAAATTCAATAATAAAATTTGATAATTGAATATAAAATCAATAAAACAAACGAAACTATTTTACCAACTTCTTGTTTAGGAAATACGCGCGTGTATATTAGAAAATTTTTAATTTATTTTTACTTAATTGTTATTTTATGTAATATGATATTTTTTAATTTTTTATTTCCTTTTTTTTGACAAACTGAAAAATGTAACAATTAACTGTCTGTGTTTGTATTATTATAATGTAAGATAATTTTTTCTATTAGTTTATTTATGTTTTTATATGTTATTATCAGACAATTACGTTTCAATTGTCGTTGTGTTGTTTGATATAAAGGATATTTTTGTTAATTTAAGCATTTAAATATTTAAAATATTTGTACTGTTTTTAGTGGTATGATAAAATATCAAAGGCAAAAATTATTTGTTTCGAGAGAGTAAATATTATATAAGCAAAAATAAATAAAAAATTATTATTCTTTAATGTCCAATTTTTAATAATTTTGATATAAATCATAATCTTCAAGCTAACTAAAATTAGAAATGGTGCTATAATGTATAAAAAACGTCGGATAGTATTTTTTTTGCTGAAGAAAAAATTAATTCATAAATGTTTCTAATTACTAAATAAGTTTTCCGTAGTTCTTATAAACTATACAGGTATTTGATAAATCTTTCGCACAGGAGCAGATTGAACTAAACTGAAAAGAAATTAAAGTCCTTTACCATTTTACAATTTTCGCAAACAAGGTATTAATTACTAAAAATTGTCGAAAATTAGTCTTCAATAATTTTTTACTCAAATACTATCAACTTTACAGAAAAACTGCAAGAGACAAAAATTATTTATTTTCTTTTCATAGAGCTCTAAGAATTTTTTTAGAATTTTTTATCAACTTTTTAGTTCTGCATTTTCTTATTTTTATCAACATGAAGAAATATGGTATTAAAAAATTCTGAAAGAATTTTCAGAACTTTATGAGACGAAAATAAACAATGTTTGCTTCTTACAGTTTTTCTGTAAAGTTGATAGTATTTGAGTAAAAAATTATTGAAGATCAATTTTCGGTAATTTTTAACAATTAATATCTTATTAACTATTGCAAAAATTGTAAAATGGTAAAGGAATTTTCTTCTCAGTTTAGTCCATTCTGCCCCCATGCAAAAAATTTATCGTGACTTATCAAACATCCTATATAATGTTATGTATATAATTTTCAAACCATACCATTACAATTTTGCACAATATCAAGTTATTTTTTATTATTTTACAGATGAAATCGATATTATATGTATTAACGGTTTTGTTGGCTGGTACGCCAACTTTATTACAACAAATAAATACAAAGACAATATCGGTATCGAAAGAACATGAAAAAAGGTTTAATATAAAGATCATCAGTAGAGAAGAAAAAAATTATAAAAATGCAGTTAATGAAGTTCTTAATTTGGACGCAATGAATTTAAAAATAATTAGAAATGATATTATTAAGAGCGATGCAATTCGTGACATCTTCCTTTCACACAATTCGTTAAAAAAGATTCCACATATCTTGGATCACGTGACATATCTATCGTATTTAAATTTGTCACACAACAACATCAACTTGTACGAGGCTAATGAAATTGTACATCCTAATCTTCAAATATTAGATTTAAGCAATCAGAGAATGTCAAATGTCATTAATGTCATACCGGAAACAGAAGTGGAGACGTTTGAAGAAATAGAAGATATTTATAAACGTTTGATTTTTAATACCACCAAGATAAGATTACCGAATTTAGAATATCTCAATTTATGTGAAAATGATATATCAGCCTTTTTATGGGATTTCAATTTGTCATTTCCAAAATTAATACGTTTAGATTTATGTAAAATTAACGCGATAGAATTGGAATCTAATTTTTTCTATAAAATCTCTACATCGTTACGCGTTCTTCATTTGGAGAACAATTATTTTCGTAATTTCACCCTACAAAACGTAGGAGAAATTACCTCTTTATATTTGGACGGAAATATTGTTGAAAGTCTCTTTATAAATTCTACGAAATTGCGAATGTTGTCATTATGTAATTGCACGAAACATCTACGTAATGGATTTTTCGAAACACCTTATTTAGAACAACTTGATTTATCCAGGAATGATTTTGATAACCTGTTCGACGTTACCATTCATTTTGAAAAGTTTCCATCATTAAAAGTGCTTTCTTTAGATTATAATAAATTGTCATATGTTCCTATTTTATCTAACTTGCAATGGCTTAACGAATTATCGTTGTGCTACAATATGATTAAATTTATTAAACCAAACACTTTTAGGTATTTAACGTCTTTGACAAAATTATCATTAAAAGGAAACAAGATAGAGCGTCTTGAAAAGGAAAACTTTTCAGGTTTAGAGAAATTAGAATACCTGGATCTGTCAAAAAATCACTTGAGTTATTTACCAATTGATTGGGCATCGTCATTATTAAACCTTCAACATTTAAATGTAAATTCGAATCAGTTTGCAAGTATTTCAGAAATAGGTATATACTCGATAAGTTCATTGCAATATTTATTTGTACGAAATAATACATTTAATAAAATAACAATATTCGAAATTGAACCATTACCGGATTTCATTACAATATACTTAGCTTAAGATGATTTATAACTTTCAACGCTATGACTATAACTGATTATTATTTTGTACGTTTAGCATGCGTTTATTATTCTACATGTATAAGTTTTTCTAATTTTTTAATATTTATTATAGTTTATTATATATATTATAGTTTACATAAGGCGCATAAAAAATAATTTATCACGCCATAATTCTTAATTATAATTCCGATTATCTTTTTCTTATAAATACATTACATACTTATTTTTGTAATTAATATATAATTTTATTATATATAACTAAAAATAAAAATTATTTGTTATATCTGACTGGTCTGTTTATTTAAAATAATAATTTATAGCAATGGTGTAATAAGATACGTACTAAGAAAACCTCTACATTAAGCTGTTAGTTGATATCGTGCCTACAACTAACTGCTGAGTATGCTGCTCAATTTCTCACTAAAAAACAGAACGGACTTTGGCTTGTAGAAGCCATTCTTACTGCTAAAAAAACGCATACGAACGCTCCTGGAATAATTTTATTTATTAAAAATGAAGTGATTCAACTAGAATTAAAACATCTAGATAAAAAATGTTTAGAATTCATATACAAAATAAAAGACAATATAAATTAGTTACTGTAATAAAATCGTTAGAAAATGCTCAATTCTTCAAACATCTTAAGCTTTACCTTATCATTAAAATGTTAAAAACTATTTATAGGGTCTGTATTTCTCAAAACTTTTCTTCTCGCAAAGCTCTAGTTGGTTCAGATTATTTATATCATTGGACGTTGATGATAATTAGTATGATAATTGTGTAAGACTAGCCGTAAGAATGCATGAAGTTCGTGAGAAGTCGTCATGGTATAAGATACGATTACGCACGTGCTCAGGAAAGTACAATGATAATCTTTGACCCCGCATAAAAAAAGGTATGACTATTATATAAATTTTACTACTAAAAAACTTTATCTAATAAATTCACTAAATTTTATCACACTCGACGTTTTACATTCTTTTATCTATTCCTTAAATTTTTGTACATTTAATTACAGGCATTTAGAATTCTTTTATGACACATATTTAAATTAAAAAATTTTAATATGTATAATAATTTATATTTCTATTATACATAAAATAAAATAAATTATAAATACACATAAAACATAAATGCACAGAAACGTACAGAAAAGCAGAATCTAAAAAATGAAATTCAGAGAATAAAATTATTTTAAAGAATAATACATGCGAACATGTAGTTATTATTATATTAAATAATTTAATAAATTACCACATACATACACACACACATATTTGTCAGACTTAAATATAACAACATATCTTTTTTCATAAATTATAAGTTTTATATTATAGTTAATTGATATTGTGGCTTCCAGAAAAGCATTATTAATCAAATATCGAATCCCGAAAAAGCATGGGAATTGTAAAATAGCTGCTTAATATAATATATTTAAGATGATAAAATATATCTCTCAAGTTCTACTTGTGAGTGATTTAATTCAGTGAATTTTAAATATAATATGAACATTATTTTTTACTGATGTGCGATGCATTATGTAGACGGCCCTGTTATTCGCGCGAAAACAGACCCTCAGTCCCATGAAGACCATCTTGAGTATATATAAGAAGATAACTTTGCCTGCTTACGACAAAAGGTGTTAGACCACTTGAGTGAATTAATCTGCGAGTGAGAAAAGTTCTTTTAACAGTTTATAAAAAATTGTAACCCGACATCAAAGGTAAGTGTACTACAAATTATTAACATTTATGAAATTATTAAAATTTAATTTTATTTATTAGATAAAACTTAATAATAACTATCCTGTTCTTTTTTTAATTTTAATTTAATTTGTTACTAACTTATATTTACTATTTTTTAAAGTAATTTTTTATTGAAGTTTATAATTTATGAGTTTTATTATTAGAGGAAGTTCACCGATACCGACATACCACTTTATTTTTAGACAATATTTCTTAAACAAAAGGTAAAAATACAACTTCAAAAATATAAATA